GACAACTGTTCCAATTCTACTGGAATTGTCTTGGAGGATAAAACACCGATTTCTGTCAAGGCCGTCCCCAGCAAGTTATTGTATAGCCCAGTCGCATTTGAAATTTTGCACCCTGCAATTCTGAGTGGAAATAGAATGCGTGGCGTATCTTGAAAACTCTCATACTTCATCATTTTTTTAAGGATAAAGGATAAAGCATTTGCCGTTGATCAATCCCTTTTTGGGATGCGGCACGCATTCTACTTCCATTTGTACATTCGCAGTGGCGTTTGAATGCGATGTGGCCTATACAATGACTTGCGGGGGCCAGCCGATGTTCAAGTCAGTGTTTTTATCCTCCCAGACAAGTCTGGTACCAATTAACCGACCCCGGAGGGATGGAAGGCTTGGTTGGCCCGGGCGACTCACGACCCAGGATTTGATCCCGGACCGCTCGCGTGGTGAGCGCGCCACTTGTCACTGCACCACTTCCGCCCCTTTATATTTTGTCCTTCATTATTTTGCGATTCCTTCGAACAATTTATCATTTAGACGTTGGTGTGCTTGCTTGACTGTTCGTGGTGTTAAAAAGGGCGACGTGTCTACTTCGCATTTCCCTCACTGGCAGTGCTGCCCCGAATTTTTGCTCGCAGGATAGGTATCCGCGTATGCCGCCTGTCAATAAGTGGAATCATCGCGACATCAGAGTGAATTACAACATGTGCCATAAAGGTTACATGTTTGAAAAATCGTGAAATTAGCTCTTCAGATCTATCCTTCGAAGAAGGTGCTTGTATTGGGATTCCATACTGCACAGCATACAGAGCCCTTTTTATTCTTGGCAAACTCCAGGTAAGCAGCGGTGTTTCTGAGCTGATCAGATGGTATCGGAGTAATGCGAAACTGGAGCATGCCCAGAGAACGGCGAAAGCAATTACGCTTCTTTTCGCAGGGCACTAGGGTACAACCAGGCCACATTTAACAGCTGCTTTGTGAATTATTGTGAGAATGTAGCATGCTAGGCGCCTAGCCCTGCTGAACAAATGGCGTAGCCACCACGCCGTACACTCCGAATCAAAATCCTGCGCGATCCGACGCCATCTAGGCCAACTATGCATCCCTTCCGGGACGAGCTAATTTGTTCCAGATTTGTTTTGGTAGATGAGCGGAATGATTTGTGCAGCAGCTCCTTGCTTTGGACTTTGCGCCCAAATGCTACTACGTGGAAGTATACAGATGGCGACAATGACAAGCGCGGCGCATCACAAAAAGACAACCATTGCCGATTGCTTCTATAGTTCCAGCACAATTTTCTTCACAGCTGCAGGCGAGTACCTACGCTGCCCACAAAGAGGCTAACAGGTCAGGCGGCTACTCTGGAAGAGTGTGGGACCTTGGAAGTCTTTGAGAATTTTGGAAGGATTTAAAAAAAAAAAATAGAAATGGGAAGTCTGCAACTTCTCTTTCTCCCCTCGCCGCTTAAGGGAGTGGGGGAGGAGTTTCAAGCGTCGAACTAGATTTAGGCTGCTACCGACCACGCACCACGGTAGCCCTCGCTCTTACCACGATGCTTGTGGGTATACGGCTACATTTCGATCATATAAAACCAATGGGAATCTTTGAATTGTCTTCGCCTAGTGAGCGATGTCGAGGTCTGAGCTGACTTGACGGGTGCGGTTCCACATTCCTCAATACTTGCAATCAAATAATGCAGCAATTCTGTTCGAAATGTATGGACAAATAAAGGTATGTTCGAAAGGTCGGGAATGCTTCAGAGCAATCTTAAAGGCAAAGCCCTGGAATAGCCCGGCTTGTTGGAAGGATACCGCAAGGGAAATTGTAAGGTCCGTACCTACCTAGATCACTCCAGCTTCGTCGCAAAAATTGCGCGGTTAGGGCGCTAATCCTTACGGGCCTGCAACCATCGACCCCCGTTGCAACGCTTCCCACCCACCTCGATTGATGTAGAGATCAGCGTGCTCTCTCGAACGTCTCTCGCGTGTTTTGTCTTCTTTGATCGCCCTGTCTCGCCATCGTACCACATCCGACCTCAGTTAAGACCTTAATTTCAGCCTAGCCAAGATTCTCCTGCTTCCTTTCGACTTGTAAGGGCGGAAGTGGTGTAGTGGCAAGTGGCGCGCTTACCACGCGAGCGGTCCGGGATCAAATCCTGGGTCGTGAGTCGCCCGGGCCAACCAAGCCTTCCATCCCTCCGGGGTCGGTTAATTGGTACCAGACTTGTCTGGGAGGATAAAACACTGACTTGTACATCGGCTGGCCCCCGCAAGTCATTGTATAGGCCACATCGCATTCAAACGCCACTACGAATGTACAAATGGAAGTAGAATGCGTGCCGCATCCCAAAAAGGGATTGATCAACGGCAAATGCTTTATCCTTTTTCTTTTATCCCTTTCGATTTTCAAGTCGTATCGCAGCTTAGTAATCACTACAAAGCGCTCTTATCACCAGTTTTAACCCAGGTTTGCCTTTAATAGGATGAGGGATTCATGGGATCACCAATTTTTTTGCGTACTTCTCATCCGAATCGGAGGCTATACGGTGTTAGGCAGTGAAGGAACGACAGTGTAGATATAATAGTGATGTAATAGTCTGGCTTCACGAAAGTTGATCGACGATGAAATGATCGGTGAAGGGCGCAAGTGGTAAACCATGGTTTTCCCATTGATTTCCGCTTTGGGCGAGCCACATCCTTTGCCGACCTCGTCAACGTAGATGCACTGCTCTGCCTCTCTACCAGAACGGCTACAACTTGACAGAGGACCAGGACCAGTAAGTGGGGTAGCCAACCGGGGGTGGGACAAGGCGTCCAAAGGGACGAGGAAGGCCTTGCAAGGCTGCGAAACTGGCCGGGCGGGCGGCCCTCTTGCTCACGAAAGCGTCACGTTTTGCTTCTTCGAGACAGAGCCCCTCTAGCAGGCAGTTTGCCCTCTAGAATACACAATTTATCGTGTCACCTACCTTTGAGCCGAAAAGGCGACGAAAAATTCACTAGCGAACAATCAAGCTCCATTGTTGATTAAGGGTCCACAAAGTAGCATTTCTTTCTCATTGTCCATTGTTCAAAAATTCAATCATTTCTCTCAGAAAGGACAGCAAGTACTAGTGCATGGCGCCTCCGGAGGAGTGGGATTGGCAGCGGTGCAAATGGCTGCCGATTACGGGGCTACTGTAGTAGGTACCGCTGGTACAGACGAGGGTATGGATTTGGTCGAGCAAAACGGTGCCACCGATGTCTTCAATCATAAGTCAAAAGGATATTGCAATGATATAAAGAAGAAATATCCTGAAGGTAAGTAATCATCGAAAAAGAGGGGAAAAACCAGGGATATGGTCTTGTTCTATCTGGGTAGTGTCGGTCTCACTGCGCCATTGTGCGCGACAAATTTTCGATTGAGCTTCTGTAGAGCCGTTTTCAGGTTTCGATCTGATCGTTGAAATGGCCGCCCATGTCAATTTGAAGCATGACTTGGACCTTCTAGCTCGAAAAGGAAAGGTTGCAATTGTGGGAAGTCGCGGTGAAATCAAAATCGATCCGAGGGCCTTCATGATGAAAGAGACTTCCGTATTCGGTGAGAAAAATTCTAAACTGAAATCTTTTCGATTTGAGAAGAATACGTTGAGAGAGCATCTCTGAACAAGGGTCAATTGCAGGGTTAGCGCTGGCGAACTCAACACCGGCTGATTGGGAAGAGTCATCGTCACACATCTACGAGCTACTGAGCTCTACTCAATATCGACCCATCATTGAGCGAGTTTATCCGTTGATGAGATTAGTACAGCTCACAAAGATGTCATGTCTCCTAGAGGAACACGGAAAATTGTAGTATCTATACGACAAAATTATTAAATTCATTCAGTTGTACATGTACGGGGGTTGGTATTGATGATTGACACATTCCCTGAATAAACGGTACAATCTCTGAGATTCCCTTCTCACCCCATAGTTACAAGATGATGGCCCAATAATTAGTATCAATACTTTAACAGCGGATTCGCATATGTCTGAGAAACTCTCTACGGCCTTTCCAAATGCCTTTAAGTCCGAACTGTGGGTTTTAGAGCGCAAAGTTTCCTAATTCTCGATTGCACAACATGTTTCGTGACTGGACGAAGTTCCTTTTCGTGGAGCCAGGAGACTGAAAAATACGAAGAGCTCAGCAGCTTCAAAAGTATCTCCTTTGTGAACCCACATCGGCGTGCTAAAGGCCCTATATCTTCTTTCTTGAAGGTATATTTGAAATTAATTATATATAGATTGAAATTAATTATACATAGACTTCGCTTATTTATGGTGCTGAAAAGAAAAAAAAAAAAAAAAAAAAAAAAAAAAAAAAAAAAAAAAAAAAAAAAAAAAAAAAAAAAAAAAAAAAAAAAAAAAAAAAAAAAAAAAAAAAAAAAAAAAAAAAAAAAAAAAAAAAAAAAAAAAAAACCCCCAAAAATTTAAATGTTAATATTATTTAATATGACGAACATTTAGGCCTATATGTCCGTAGGTGGGGACACTAAATTTTCCTCAACATCACAGCACAACACGATTAGAGAAACGCCGCCTGGTTCGCTCTAAATTCTCAAAGAGCCAAGGTGAAGCCTAACAAGGGAGTCGTTCAGGATGTGCCAACTTTTCAAAATGCTTCCCTGCACTACATTGGGCACATGATGAGGGCACCACAGAACCATTCAATATTTCTGAAAAGAGCCTCTGAGGGGTTTCTAGTTCGATCTCTTCGCGATGGCCAACTTTTTGCATTCGAGTTGTATCTTCAAATGTCACGCAAAATGGAGTTACATAACAATTAATTCCATATAGGCTAATTATCGTCACAATCCCTTACAAATCAGCACTCTGATCACAAAACCTGCTGGAAAAGTTGACACTAGTGGGCCGCTTTGACTGCCAAACTAGGGTCCCTTTTCTGGTATTCGGGGGGGGGGGGTTCAAGGAAATATTAACCATGGTTTTGTGGTTTCCGCATGCGCCCCTATATCATGCAAAAGAGCGTTTTGAAAAAGCTTGGCACACCCTGAACGACCTCCCTTGTAAAGACCAACCTGAAACCTGGAAGAGAGGTAGGTGAGCAAAAGCTCGAATGTGTGAGATCACAGAGGTGATGGGCTGTGTAGGCAAGAGAGCACAGGCGAGAGCAACGAATCGGGGCGGTCCAAAGGGCTGAGTTCAAATAGTCCGTAAACGCGCCTGGTAGCAAAGATTTCAGTTCAACACGTACAGATGAAACGGGTCAGACCACACAGTCCAGTCCTCATCATCCCATACTCTTGCTAAGCTCGAATGAGTTGTCTCTAGTGTTGGAACTCCCTCCAAGTCGACATCTGCCCTCCGTGAAAATTGCGTGCTGGCATTCCCGCTAACAGTAACGTACGGAACGCCCACAAAAATCGGGCGGCAGTATTCTTATTAATGATCTGATATGTTTGTTCAAGAATACCATTATCAGGAATTCGGGTGCCCCGAGAAACACTTCGTGTCCAGAGGGAGTCGCTTCTGTCCTCCTGCTTCAAGATGCCATTCCACAGCCGATATACGAATGATTTCTATGGTCCCACTTCAAGACTCCACACGGTACTTGTAATGAAGGTTTCACAAAGCAAAAGCCTACTGAATCATTTATACATAAAACCGGGTACATACAACTTGAAAACAACAAACTATAAAAAAACAACAGTACAGAACAATAGGCCACAGAAAACAATTCGACACCCAATCCGGAATTCAATCACACAATCAAACTTCAAGCAAAGTACTCCAAATTCTACTACCCTGGGATTTATCCTTCTTGATTAATTTAAATTCAAGACTAGATCCCAAACTGAAAGCTCTTCAAAACCTGAAATACAATGCTTCATTGAAGACATTGAAGCTAGAATTCGGGGAACAAAAGCGCCTCATCGGCTGTCACTCACTTCCAAAGCTCTTTCCTTGCATCGAGAAAGCTCTCGCGTATTTTTCATAAAATTCATTTTCTGAAATCAAATTCACATAAATTTGCGATTTTTAATGCAAGTAGTGATTAAACTCGCAGCCGGGAATTGAGAACCGCGAGATCGTATTCCGCGAGGGCGGCGGATAACGCTACCACAACGCAAACGCCCTTTCTTTGCACTTTTCACTTCAACACCGAAATTACCACAATACACTGAGATCCTACTGCATAATTACACCCTGAACAACTTAGGCACGCACGCCACACACCTCCCTTCATAGTAGCCCTCTTCATGGGAGACATCGAAAGATTCTGTCAGGCTAAAATAGGGATGTCCGAATTCAGCAAGATGCTCGATTTTTTTTTATCTTCACACACAACTTTCTGGGCTCTGCCAACACTCACGGAGGGGCTACGAAGACTGGACAATTGAGAATACGGTGTCTTTTCGATTCACGCTCCTGATTTCAGGTGAGGGGTGCCACACCATTACGACTGACAGCCTGAACGGCGAAATGCCTTCATTGAGTGCTAATGTGCCGGTAAACCTTCATCTCAGACCAGCTTCCATAACACGAGAACGCCATTTCTGCACCAAAGAGCTTCTGCCCACATCAATTGTAGTCCACGGCAGCTGGTCGATCTTCGAGATAACAGTGCACTGCGATTATGAACCGTAGCAACATTGCTCAAATTGCAGACTGAAGATCCCACATAAAGGCAAGTTCCGGGATTAGGCACGCTCACCTCATTCATACACGAGTGTGGTAGACTAGGAGACAAGCGCGATTTTGCGGCCTGAAAGTGCGCGACAAAGGCGCTAAAGCTCGCTCGACCCGCAATCCACACCTTCGTCCGCAAGCCCCGCCTTCCGCTGTCGGTTGCCACGTGGACGCTGCTTGAAAAGCGCGGGCGCAGTTGCGGCAGCGGTTGCATTGCGGTTCAATGTCATTGGCACTGGAGCAACTGGAGCTAGGTTCGCGAATCTTCTCTATCAAGGTGGAATGCGGCTGAAATAGAGGATGTCCTGATGCGGACGTAATTAGGGTTTGCCTAGCTTTCTTTTTTTCCAGACCATTCTCCACCTCTAACTTTATTAGAAAACGCTGTTCTACACCTATGTTATCCTGAAGCTTGCCTTTAATCATATCCACAGTCTCGGGAAAATGTGCACTAGTGTCCTGACCGGAGATTATAAACATCTACTAACTTGAATAGAATTGTAATTTTTATAGGAAAAATCTGTTCTACAGTACACAGTGATTTTTGATTTTTAATCTTGTTAATTTATTACTATGAAGGTCAGAACAAGAGGTAGTCTAGATTCCGCTTATTAAAGGTGGAAGGGATTACGGTAGACGTCTCAGAGCAAAAGAAGGTGAAAGAAATGGCTTACTTCTGCTTGTGAAGGGGATTTCAGTGACATTTTGCATTGGAACTTCCGTCTAACTCATCATCTTAAGATTAGACGCTTACTGATACTCCGAGGCCGATTGCTTAGCGTTATTGTAGCTCTCAGGAAATGAAAAAAGAAGTGACTCGTACATCGGCTGGTCCCCGCGAGTCGTATGGATCAAATCACCTCAAAGAGACTTTTTTATTGTGGAAGGAAATAGAATGTACGGAGCATATCAAGAAGATATTGACCGGTGCCGATGGCGAGTGCATTAACCTTTTGCTTTCCGAAGAAAATCGGCCAAAAATGCTCTAGAGACTTGAACCCCTCACTCTAATAGCATGGAATGTGATATCGAATCTCGGCCTAGGCTATCCAGCAGTGCAGATTTCCAACGGGTAGATTTCCAATGGGAAATCACAATGAAAATATTCAGCTTCGGTTTTTTTTGTCATTTTTATTTCTATTTAGCAACTCCACAATTACTTATCCATCGTTTTTGCATTTACATCTATGTGCTGCTGGGCGTTAGTTGCGTCCATCATGAGAAGCTGCATTGCTCTCCAGTCCCAATTGAAAGCAGTGGGTAGCTAACGTATGGTGTGAACTAGCTGGGATGCTACAGTCCTTTGCGTGCTGGGAGGCGGATCCAACGCCCTTCTTTTTATAACATTATTCGCTGCTTCGCCTCCTGGTTCAACGTGAACTGGGGCTTTTAAACCAGTTTTCCTATGTTAAACTCGGCAAACTCACCTCACAATACTTAACAGAGAATCCTAGCAATCTCTCGAGGAGCTGTGAATCAACTTCACATATTTGAGAATTGATCGATTCGTCAGTAACACAAATGTTGAGCAGCCATGATCCATGCTTCGCAGTCAGTTCACCGTTAATGTAGCAGATGCCCTTGAAAAACAAAACTGCAACTATAATTCTATCTCAGAAGAGTATCCAAAACGAGATAGCATCTCCTCGAAGCGTAAGCTTAGCAGCCTAGTAGTCTATACGATCGGTTACCTGCGGCTCATCAATAACCCCTATGCAACGTCATTGCTTAAGCGGGCTCTTCTGCGCTGTCAGATTGCCAAAGAAAAAAGACTTGCAGCTTACAAGAGCTCCAAACAATTTTTCGCTTATTGTAAGAAAAAACTCAAGCTTGCAGATTCTATCCCCCACCTGGTTACACAAGCAGGAATCTGCATTGAGGACGACGCTGACAAAGCAAACTTATTCGCTGATTACTTCCAGACTGTTTATAGAAAAGCTCATGATACGGGTGCCTACTTGCCCCCGTCACTGATTGCTGCTTGGACTGATAAGAGATAATTAAGTCAAGGTGATATAAGATTGTGAGTCGGGCGTTAAATTGCGCAAGCTTCCTAATAGAGTATCCACCTCTCCGGACAACATACCATATGTTTTCTTGAAGAAGGCAGCTCTAGGGCTTGCATCCCCTCTCAATTTGCTTTTCAATAGGTGCCTGCTTCAG